TGGATTTCTTGTAGAGAGTAATCAATACACCCGATGAATGTGATTTCCACGTGTGTTGTAATTACAAATATCAGTATTGAATGAAAATGTGTTTCCTTTGTTAAGTAAGTCAGTTTCGACAAAAATTACAGGTTCGTAAATTATGCAAGGCAACGGAAAGATTCCAAGATAAATGAAGAGAGGCGGGAATCATTGGATGGAGATATAGATACGGAGTAATACACGTAGTATAGGAAAAGTTATGTATTGCTGCGAAAAATCCCTTTGCAGATCAAACACAGAAGTTCCAAACAGTAATGCTCCTGATTTATTTAGTAAAAGGACAGTAAAACCTTTATGTGACGTATGAGAGAGAAGTGTGGGAGAAGTGCTCATGACTGGGTCTGTGAGACCAAAGGGTTTCTTTTTGTTTTTATTGAAACCATGGGAATTCTATATTTTTTAAATGAATATAAAAGTCATTTATATAATATTTGTATTGCATTTATTTCATTAACATGGAGAAATATATAGATTGGAAATAATTAGAGTATATGTGAGTTGTGTGTAAAATTGCTAGTGAAGTTTAATTCTTTTGCAGTTTAGTGCAAAACTTACTTAATGCTCCAGCTAATGGTAATATATTTTTAAACTGTTTTTGAAAGTATAAACAAAAATTTGTAATAAAGTTATATTTAGATTTTTTTTTTTTTTTTTTTTTTTTCTTAGGCATACCCTGACATAGAAAAGATATGTACTTCACCATAGAAATTTGGGAGAAAATACCTATACTTGGAGCAAAAAAATGTATTATTTTCTGACTTTTTCTTCAAATTCTGACGTTAGTTAATGACTTTAGTTAGTGCAGTAAAAGCAATTTTTAAATATTGTTCATATTTATTTACAAGTATTTATTTATAATTATCTTTATGTGTATATGTGTCATCGGCTTCAGGGAGGGGGGGCTTAAACCCCATGAGCCCCTTCCTCCCCAATTCCCCCCCCCCTACATGTTTCAAAATTATGTATTATTGAATTGTAAAATTGTAAAATTGAATTCAATGTTCGTAAATAAATTGTGTAATATATTTCTTCTGTCAGTATCTTCATTAACATACAAACAATTAAGTAATTAACTAATTCAATTAATGTGTGAGAAATTTGAAACTTTTTGTTTTCATTTGCAGGAAACTCTGCGATCCTCACCTGACAGCATTTGAGCCTGAGGCTCTAGGTAATTTAGTCGAGGGAATGGAATTTCACAAATTTTACTTTGATAATGGTAATTACTGCTTTTTCTGTGCATCTTTCTTTGATTTTGTATATCAAACAGCATCTGTGTTGTGTGTGCCAAACGTATAGGAGTGTTGTAAAACTAATGTTGCTAGTAAACTCTGCTATGGAAAAGTCACTTTCACTGCTAATTGTACATGTATATGTACATGTGTTTGGTCTGTATGTGTGTATGAATGGATGCTTGTGTTGATATAATGCATTCAAATATTGTTTACCTTTACTAGTTCATGAAAACTCGCAGTCATATGCAGAGGAAAATTAAAAAATTAAAATGCTGAAATTTGTTTCATCACATTTGACTGAAATTAAAGTAATATATTTACTTATTTGGAGTTGTTTTATTTGTTGAGTTGTATAAATAAATATTGACCAGTCATGTGGTTTAGAAAAACCAAATATTTTTCCTTCTGCAAACAAGGCCAAAACCATCCACATCATTTATTGTTATTTCCAAAATTTTTTAATACAAGAATCACTACAAGAATTAAGAATTAATTTATTTCATGCAAATTCAGTTTTTATTATTTTGACAATGGAAAAAAGTCATAATTCACATTCATTCATAATGAATATGATAATTTTTTTGCAACAAGCGTGATTGTATTATTTAAATTGTAAAAGTTTCCATAGTATCCATTTCAATATTATTTAAGAAGATGCCCTGCCAAGTTTCAGACAGAAATCATCTGATATTTACTCATGTAGTGACATGACATTTATTAGTCGCTATGTTTGCTTTGTTTCTCACTCTTATTTATGCTTGTTCAGGCATCAGTATTGGCAGATGAAGCAATAATAACCTGACATTGTTGACCTGTAGTCCGTTGTAAATAGCATTTGTGTGAAATTTTATACAGAGGTGATTACCCATGATGGCTCCACCTGGTGACCTGAAGTGAGAAACTATCTGAAATGATTATTTTCACCTTTTCTTCTCTTTGTATCATTTTTTGAAATTATTTTATAAATGCTTGAATGTGACTTACATGTTGACAAGGAACATTAGTTGCATAAATATTAACATTAACATTTCCCCATAGTTTTTTAATATATATTGAATTGTACGCAGTGTTTCCCAAAGCATAATTCTCAAATCCTGATAGAATTATCCACTTATTATTGCTGTTTGTTTTTACTCAAAAAGTTAGTCATGCATTTTGCTGCTCATCATCTGTAATTTATTTTTCTGTAACATAAGCAAATGCTAGCATCACATGGAATAAAATGTTGCCAGAGAGTAAGATTTAAAGAAAATTGTGAACAAATACTGGAAATTTGGAAAACACTGACACTTAAAACATCTAGTAAAATTTTAACTTCACTATACTTTTTAGTTAGTTTAAATTTAATACAAAATTAACAATGGAGTTAATTGAATGTACCTCCTGTCTTGAATAAATGCAGAAGCTCATTAGTAGTGGTAGACCATGAAACTTTATTTTTTAATATTTGAATGCTTGCCTGATGCATTTTTTCTCTTCCATTGTTTCATCTTCCAGATGTATTACAGCTTTCTGAAAATCACAGTCTTCAAAATAGCATCACAAATCTCTCTTTTAAGATGGCACATTTAATTAATTAATCATATTTGATATTGTAATTTAAATATCATTTCTGAACAAGCTGAAATATTTTCTGGAAATATTTTATATTGAGTTGCATATTTATGTTGGTTGACACATTTTCTATTCTCGGTTTCAGTAATATTTTTTTACACATCTTATCTTGTCAAAATAAATATTTGTGGATAATGGAATGTTAATTAAATTGTATTTTTATTTTCAGTATTAGGCAAGAACTGTAAAGCAATCAACACAACAATCCTGAATCCTCATGTGCATCTGCTAGGTGATGATGCTGCTTGTATTGCGTATGTTCGGCTAACACAGTATATGGACAAGTAAGTTTCAAGTCTTTCTTTATAAGTTTCTCTCTTTCCCCCGTATTCTTTAATTTTTTTTAAAAATACTCAATAAAAGTTTTTTTAATATCTCTCCTCTGTTACTATGCACATTTCCAGCAATTTGTATACATTATTGCACTTGTGACTGGAAGTGCTTTAAATTAAGTTTTTCAAAAACTCAATAGTGTGAAAAAGAGATTCAGATTATGCATTTACAGTAACACTTAAACACAGTTTTTGTAAAAACAGCTTCAAAATTATCAATGAAAGTTGTCATTTAGGACAAGGCTTTAGACTCTTCTTTAATAATCTTAACATAATATTTCTGTTCTTCTATACAGAAATTGAAAAATTGAGAAAATTCCAGAGGTATCTGGCAAGTCCATATAACTAGCTCAGACCAAAGAAAATAAAACTCTAATACAAGGAAGTATGTTGCACCAATAGTTTGGAAATATCTCTCATGTTGTTAATATTTATATTATGAGCAGCTTCTATACATTATTGAATTTTTTAAACACAATTTCCTCAAATGATTTCTTATGACATTTCTTGAAAACTTTTCTGTGAAAATGAGCTCAAAATTGTGCACTTTCAGAAACGCTCAAACATTTTCTCGCGATCACCTATACATTTTTCAATGAAAATTTCCATACAAGAATATTCTTTATTCTTCTGTAATATTCTTATAGACATTTCAATTCCACTAGTGGTGGGCTAAAAAATTGAGAAAATGTTGAAAAATCATTGTTTTGGTTTTGACAGGAAGCAGCTGGGATAAGGCTGAGGCAATACCGAAAAGCTAGCCTAGACTAAAGAGATTAAAAAACTAACTAGTGTGAGAAAGTCTGTGCCATTTTGTAGCACCACTAATTTCCTTTGCATACCAAGCGGGGTACACGTATATCCCAATCACATTTTTACTTGTTGTGTATGTTTCACTTGTTTGTGATATTGAAACATCATTACATTGTCTGAAATACTTCTGTTGACAATTATGTCTTAAAGAAAGTAATATTTTTAAGACGTTTTATGTTTTCTACTTAAAAACAAGCACTAGGTTGTTTTTTTTAACCCCTTTTCATATTCCATGTCATTAAGTTTTATTCCTTATTAATTATTACAAACAGAGATAGAAAGAGTAGAATAAGATGCAAAAATCAAAATGTTCTTATTTTAGTTAGTTTTTTCATATTTCAAAGCAATTTTGCATAATATTTGAGTGGGGTACGTGTACCCCCTTTGTATTTGGCGCCACATTTACAGCATGGTATGCGGAGGGTTAAACCTACTTTGAGTTGAAACTTGAAGTTGAAATTTATACTGCAGTTTGGTTTCACAGCAATATTTTACATCTGTAAATTTCAAATTTTTATCTAGTTCCCCTAATGAGATATTACAGTTGAAAATTAGAAATAAATATCCAAATTTTCAATTTTTTTGGAATGCAATTTTTAAGTCAAGTACTACATGTTGTGCTTTAAGTAACTACACACTCAAGTGTAAAAGCATAGAAAAAACTAAACATTGTAACCCTATTCCTTCTTTGAGCAATTTGTTCAATTGTGTTCAATAGTTATATCCAATCGATAATATTTTCCAAATAAAAACTTACGAGGTAGATAAATAACACACAGTGTACTATTGACTATATATGGACTCTTCTTCCAAGGGCACTCTGTGTAACACTCAAATTAATACACTTAGTATTGTATGCTTTTAGATGCAAATGTAGGACCATGAGTTCATAATTTCAATTTTAAATTTTATGTGTTTATTGTAATCCCTAAAAATTAATACATATGCTCATTATTGTCTGCAGGCAAGGTCAAGCTCATACCCAACAATCAGAAGAAACACGGGTATGGCACAAGAGAGAAAATAAATGGCAGAACGTCCACTTTCATCGTTCTGGTGTGTCAGGATCATCTCCTTTTACATTTGCCCACAAATAAAAATGCTGGATCATTTTCATGGAAAAACTTCACCAATCCAGCATATCTTGCCATACCTTTGATGCCCGTTTGCACCAGTTTCAGTTAAATGATAACTGGTTGTTATTTTCATTTTGGTCCCGAAAGGTGCTATATAAATACAAAAGAATAGTACATTTCATTGTAATTTTCTTCTTTTTTATAAGATTTGAAAGTATGTTAATTTCAAAATATTTTGGAGTTGTCGAAATGTATATGTGCTTTCATTATATTGTTTTGTTTTTTACTTTAGGATTCTAAGTGTTAAACTAATATGTGGACTAGTTAGTTGTACAATTTATGTCTACAATTTACCTCTATATAAATTTTGTTTGCTTTTTATCTACTCAAGTTCAACGGAAACTTTTGTTCTTGTTTCTCACTGTTTCATATCCTTTTTCATGCAGTATTGTATAAGATAACAAGTATGTTAGATATTGATGAATCTGAAATTATCTCTTCATGGTCACAAGCAATCATTTGAAACAAGACATTTATTCATTAGTGTGTTTCCCTAATTTTATTAGATATTATTGGGATGACTTTTGTAAAGCTGTCGTTTTTAAAATATTAAAAGATGTGCTATTGGCAGACAGTGAGCTGTCAGCCCACAGAGGCCAGGTGCAGAATGAATGTACATACATACATACTACATGCAATTTTCTTAACAACGTGTTACCATTTAACAGATTTTGGTGCAATATGTGCAATAAATGTACTCTATAGTAACAAGCTTTGTTAACAACTTTATGGTGGTATGACTTTAGGAGTCAGGAAACCAGCTCTCTTTAACAGTATGAAGTGTTAATTAATGACTAGTACTGCATCTTGCATTGCCCTTGGATAGCCGGAGAGGCTGTACTTACAAATGAACAAAAGAATGAGCTACAATGTTACTTAATGGAATAACTTTTATGGTTGGAGTTTTCAGGAATGAAACAGGAAAAAAATCCCTCAAGTAGCTCATTTATAAGCTGTATATGCGCTCTGTTGGTGTTTGCATGCAAGGTTTTATAATTATCTCAATATTATAATTCCATTTGCATGTGATGGTTGAATTTACTTTGTCATGATGCAGAAAATAGCATGAAAGGAGGTTTTAATTGTGTTTTAGGGAGACACGATGAACAAGTTGAAAGAGCTTCACCTCACTCCCTGAAAACTGCTATCTTGTTCCCAATCCTCTTCAGAGGTACCTCTTACTTCATATGTAATTCTACAACATGCTTCTAAATGTGATTGCCGTTAAAGAAGACCTTTTGGATTATTATTAAAATGTTATAACCTATTATTATAAATACATAAAGAGTGTGCAATTTAATTGCATTTAGTGTTTAGATGTTTTCAGATAAAGATCTGTATGCTCCCCTCTCCTTCTGTCATCATTGAGTTCAGTTCTATGAACTGAGAAACTTAATTGTTTGGCCTAATTGTCATTATAATTAAACATTATATAGTGTATAATCTGAGTTGATTCCTACCTTAGTACGAAGTTACAAGTTAAAATTGTCTCGAGAGAAACAGTTTGTGAATAATTTAAAATAATGCAAGAACATTGCTGTAGGTAGACATTGTGATGTTGAAAATAATCATTGAATAATTGAATTAGATTCTTCTAATTGTACTTAAATGTTGAATTAAGAAAGTGCTCTATATAACAATTTTGAATGAAACCATTCTTTTTTAATAATAACACTAATTAGATCCAGGTTTCTTCTTATTGCTTCATTGAACTGATTAGATCAATTAACTCTTCTTGTAACATAATATTATAATGTCATGCCATTTCTGTATGTCATGCAGACTGAATGTGTGGCTAAATGATTGTCATATCTCTGATTCAGAATTTTACATTGTTTTCATTACATGAAATTTATATGAATAACATCATATTTTTAGAGAAATATGATACATTGGTTTTCCAATAATGGCTGATAAAATGGATGCAAATATCTGGTTATCACTTGATGTATTAAATGTCAGGTGTTAACCAACTTTGAACATTTTTTGCAGCAGAGGAAATAATTGATCCAGAGTATACTCCTTCTAATTATTTTATTTTGAGAACAAATTGAATACATTGTAAGGAAGTGATGCTATCATAACATATTCATAAATTCAGATATTGATTTATTACGAATCTATCCTCATTAGTTGTTCAAAAAATATGTAGAATGATTCGGTTCATAAACAAGTTAATTATTGATTGCTCTCATTTTTACTGTATTCATAACTCAAGATCAATTAGTTTACAGCAATCTTCCTATTAAATGAAGGTGTTTACTTTCTACTTCTACAGACATTCAATCTTTCCTTTGCTCTCGAATGCTTTTATTCATATAGATTTCTGTACAAAATATACCAATTATATGTACACATGTAATAGTGGGTGTATCACTGTCCCATATTTTTTTCATCAAATGTGAATTAGTCAAGTATGCAAAGGGAAATGGTATGAGAATATAATTGATGAACAGATTGCTTACATCTGTATTCTTCTTTTTCCAAATATTATAAGGCAAATGAGTTATATGGGCATAAAATTATATTCATTAAGTTTTACATGGATCTGAGGACATAAAATCTTGTGGCCAATGATGTAGCTAGTCTAATGTACCAGTTATTTTCATACATTTTTCCATACTTGCTTGCTGTGTAATTAGATTGAAGTGAGATATCACATTTGGTTGTTACATCGTTTGTGCCCCCTTTGTGTAATTGTATCTTTTGTGCTGATGTGCAGTAAAATCAACGCTCTTTGAAGCTCCTGACTATGCTCTTCAAATAATTTATTATGTCTTATTGTGATAAGAATTTTTTTAAAGGCATTTTAGAATCTTTATATACACAAATATAACTTACATGTTACATACAATATGACAATTTTATTTTAAATTATTTCTTGTTGGTACAGTTTTGAAAGAAGTATTTAAAATATCAGTGGATCTGAGGTAGTTAGACCATGGTATGTACCTTTTTTATAAGCCATTGTCACAGTTTGCTAAACTTTGTTTTAGATAATAGGAAACAAGCTAGAAGTTGTAGGTACCCTTATTCAATGGAAATATGACTTATTTTATTTAAACTTTACATACGAAGTCAACATTTCCAGTAGTGCCATTGTTAATTTATAGATATTATTTTTTTAAATAATCATTGTGCTCTGCTGTTGCCCTCAGTATTGATTGAAGCAAGTGAAATACTGGGAACATACCATTAATGTTATCTCCAATGCAGTATTTCAATGTGTAAATGTGTTTTTGTTTGTTTTTAGATGCTCTCTTGAGTTTGTGTTCATTTATATAATTTGGTTACATATACCGTATCTTTGTATATTTGAATATGCTATGAAGTGTTCCAAAAGAGCTAAGTGACATCTTTATTGCATATTCAAAAGGACTTGCTGGGACTTGGTGGTTTTAAAAAATGTTCTCTGAAGCTCAAAAAGGTTGAGAAATCACCTTCAATACTTTATATCTAATTGGTTTATTTTGAATAATTCAACCGTGAAACAACCTATTATATGGAAAATATTCGTACTCTACTACATGTCATTATTGTTAAAACATTTGTAAAGTGTAATACTGGGTAAATAGGAATCATTCATCTACACCACTTTTTAGTGTTGAATTGAAAACCTTAATATATTGTGATGAAAATTCGGCATGGTTAGCAGAGTTTTATTAGTTATATATTGCTTGCAGCTTTACCAATAATGTTTTGTTTTTATTTTATTTTGGATTGCATAGAAATTTCAACTTTATTGTAAAAATTCTGTGCTTTTAGAATTCAATTTGCATCTCATATTTTATTGTATTATATCATCTGAATAATAAAATTTCTAATATTTTAGTTCTTTGTAATTACCTACTTCGATTCGTTAGTTAACTTAAACATTTTAATTATTTTTAAGGTCCTCAAAAACTTTTTAATAATGCCAAGATTGATTTTCTAATATCTATTTACTACTATTATTATTGTAAAACAAATTATTCTGCTAATCTACCAGAAATTTGTATGCAATTCCATGCCTCATTATAAAATAAAACTTAAAATTTTAAAACTTTATAAAGACTGTTGACAGAGCTGCATAGAGGGCTTAATGTGTTATTCCCATAATAATTGTGGGTAGTATCCAAAATTTTGAATAAGCACAAAATATTTGTTTTAATACATCAAAAGGAATTTTAAAAATAATGTACATATAAAATCACTGTTTTTGTTAATTTCTTTGTTGTTAATTGTGATATTAATTCTACTGCTTGTATGAAATGATAATTATATATCTCTTGTAGACAACAATTACAAATGTGGGAAAAATTTCCTTCTGTTGTGAAAATTAGAAGAGATCCATTATTCTAATCACATAACGATTGGTGCAGAGGAAGCCTTTGTCATTTCTTCCACCTTTTTTCTCATCTTTGAATCTTATTTTTATCAATTTCCCACACTTTCCTTACTATAACCTTTTATGGAAATAAAATATTATCAAATATTTGTTTTGCCTGGAACTATTGCATTTTGTATCCAAAACCCAAACTATTGTTAGATGTTGGCTTCAGTTTTACTTTCTTGAATTTGGTATTTTTGTTCTTGGTGCACATTAGAACAAGTATTCTTAGACATGAATACATCTGGTCCTTTTGATAGTTCTAACAATGTATGCAAGGCTACTGAATAAAAATCTAAATTAATAAAATTGTTTAAAAATGCTGAATTTTGGGGGAAATTCTCTTCATAAATTAATCAATTTTAATAAGTGGCCAATTATTAAACTTTGAACTAACCAATTGAAATCAATAAGAATTTCATTGTTAATTTATTATGGGGATTGCATAATAAATAAAAGATTGATAGAAAGATATAAATATTTTGTAATATTTTATTTGCGTGGCCACTTCATTTCTGCTTGTACTCACAAAATCAAAGAACGGTTATTTCTGAAGCCCAATCTCTTTATATTTCACAATGTACTAGGAATATTTATTAAAAAAATTATGCCATCCGTTTATGCAACTGTATTTTCATATTTCCAGTTCAGTTTTTGAAAGAAGCTGAAGTTTTGAATTTTTACTCAGTAATTGCAAGAAAACCTGTTTAATTCAAATACCTATTTGTACAAATGAAAATGTTTTTGTTTTGCATTCCCATGTAGAAATAACATACAAGAACTGATTACTGAGTTAGTACTTCATGTTTGAGAAAGTACTTTTCATCAGTTACTATTTTACACTTTCAAAAAGTATCTGGTGTAAAATCCCTGTGTGTTCATTTCAGTAACTGTAAAAGGGTTTGGTCACTGTGACTGAGCCAATTACAGTGGTTATTTGTATATTTTGCAAGCTTACACAGAATACAATTTATTGTATGTAAATTCCTTCTACCTATATTCTTAAAAATCTTATAATAAAAATGGAGTGTGTAAATTTTGTTTAGATATTCTTATATTTCTATCAACTGTTTTATATTTTCTTTTCTTTTTTTTTTCCCAGAAGTTATTTTTAAATTAAGTCAGTATCTTATGTTCAATTGAACAATACGATATGGCTTTACAACATCCTCTGCAGTTGTGACGTATTCTTCATAAATTCTACATTAGATACCTAATTTCTTAAACTTTGTCAGTGTATTTGAATGTGGTGGACAAGAATTTGCCTTCTTTAGACTCAAAAGACAACCTTAAAAATTAGGGGGGTTCAAATGAATTTTGCTTTCATTTATATACGGTGCTTTTATAGCTGGATGAAAAAACTTTTCATTTACAAATCCAGAGGAGAAAATTCATTGATTTTTTTTTTATTAATAGAAAGCAAATTAATTTCAAATGTATATAAAATATCAATGTACAAATTATTTCAACTCATGTAATTTGATTGAATAACAATTAGGATTATTGAATTTGATGTTAGAACTTCTGACATATTCTTAATATTTACATTACTGATGAATCTCACAATTAAATGTATTTGTAGACAAAAAAGCTCCAAATGTTCTTTTATAGAGTACTATTTGGAAACCAAGACATTTTTGAGAATAGGTAATTAGGTGCATGGTAGTATGGTACATTTGAAACTCTCATATGAAAAGAGATTTTGCTCTTCTATGATGTTCTGGTTGTTGCATTTCAATTAAATTATTAAAGTTCACAAAATAGGAAGAAATGAAGGTGATTTTTATCAAACAATTTATAAAATGTCAATATGACAGTTATGGTAAGAAAACCATCATGTTAACTGAAACATTCACTAAATTTTATGTTCTACAGCATTTTGTGTTAAGTTGTGATGAAGGAAAATTTTTATTTGTGCACGTGTGAACTGAAGTATTTGAAAACAAAAAGGCTTTACAATATTAGTGTTACCGTGGCGAAAAATTTTGTTCAACGTTAAACATTATGAGGTGCTTGGGTTTAGATCTTTCCTTTCAACAAACATCCTGGGAACTCGAATTTTACAATCATTCAAGGAAGGTACTCGTTCCAAAACGGAATTCATCCAAAAGAATCAACCAAAGGGACAAGTACATCACCAGCATGTTAATTATCAGGCAGATTAAAACATCTTTGATTTTTAAAACAGTCATTCATGTACATGTGTGCAGGCATTAAGTCTTGCAAAAAACAATCCGCAGTAAATATTACATCCCTGATTTCTGGAGTAATACATGTAATAAAGCAGGCTTGCAAGGCCCTAGCAGCATGCCCCACAATGACGGAAGGAGCCCTTTTGCACCTCACCGGCTCCTAATGAAAAAAACTTTCACTTTTAGGGCAAGTGACCGCTGCTCAAGCCCTAGATAGGAAGAAAGTCCTGCAGTATGTGGAAAAAGATAGAAATGCATTGAATCATGTTGAATTTCACAACTAAAGCTTGACATTATGACTGTAGTTTCTGGAGAGGGCAGGTTTTGTATACTATTCCTTCAGATTAAATTGCTAAACCACTTCCTCAAATTTCTTGGTCTATCTTTACTGTTGCAACAGATTTTGAAAATATTTGTAATTTAAATTGAAAGGATAGAAAATTTAACAAACTTCATTTTTAATAATAATATGCACTTCATAAATTGAATACAAGATTATCTGGTTTTATTCACTTGACCATACTTTTCTATATGTTTCAATGCTTGTAATTTTTATATATATAAGGAAGAAAAGAGAAACATGATGATGATGATGATGATAATAATAATAATAATAATAATAATAATAATAATAATAATAAAGAGAACAAAATATTTCGAGATGCACATGATTTTTATTAAGCAAAAATCACATAAAGTTTCCCTTGTTTTTTTAGCAATAATAGAATCAATATTCAGCGTTTGTGCCACTGCAATTCACATTGACGACTACTGATGCAAGAGTGTTGGGCCTCTGGACTAGGTGTTTTTGTAAGTTCATACAAGAGAAAAATGGCTCACAAATATAAGTAGAGCCGAACATTGACAATATACATGCAGCTGCAGCACAAATTTTTGGATATTACTTATTGATTCCAGCGTACAATTCTTCCTTACTTTTTTCTATCGAACAAGTCTCTCAGAGCTGAGTCACATTGAAGGTTGATACACTCCACTTGAAGTTCATCCAATAATAAACATATTATTAATTTATTCTTTTACTTGTAAAATTATTATATAAGTAAGAGAATAACAACTCATAAAATAATATATTTTGTGTGAAATTGAACAAAGCGATTGGAGGGTGATGAGACTGTATTTTTTAACATTTTACTTTTGGGTTTCCTGTGCAAATAGGTTTCTTGCAGTGGCCTCATAAAATTGCGGCCAGCAGCCTATCTCATTCCTCCTTACTTCTTTCTTTCTGGTATGGTGCACGCTGGACCTCATTTTCTTTTATTTTCAATTTCATTTTCCAACAATGATGATGTTGGTCTTCATCTTTTCTTCTGTGTCTCCTTGTTCTGTATGCACAGACTTGAAATCTAACAGGGATAGTTCAATTCTTTCTTCTACCCTGCAAGGTTCAAAATCTTTTCTGTAAAGCAGTAATTGACAGTAGTGAGATCCAAGAGATGGATGATAAACACAATTTTTTGGATATGATTTAAGTGTGATACAATGCTATCCATTCAATCAACGCCGCCAATATATTTATAGTTCAGTATTAGTAGCACAGCACAACACGGGCATTCTATTCATACTGCCTGGAAAGTGAGGTCATGTTACATAGGTGCCCAATGTTACTTCAAGGAAACAAACACACTTTCTATTTAAATTCACACTACATTAATATTGTCTCATTCATAAGCGTATATATGAGTAAATAACATACTTATATCACTTGAGAATTTCGAGAAAATAAGGACATAAATAAGCACTGTAAATACATGTGAAAAAACACTACTCCTGGTCTAAACTTAATTGATAGAAAAGAAAAGACGTAAAATAGATGTGTTACTTCAAAGTAACAACGGGCAGTAGAGGATTTTTTTTTTTTGAGAATGGAAGTCTACACGACTCTTCTTTTTGTATTTGTTATTGTCCGGATGATTATCTTCTGTATTTTGAATGTTAGCCTGATTATTTTTCCATATTTGAAATAGAGTGCACATTTGCGAAGTAGTTTACTGTTCCGACTGTGTCAATGGTGGTCTTTTTTGTTATTATTCTAAGTGCATAATTAGGTTTGCTCCATTTTGAATTAATATATTCTATCGATCGACCATTCGATGATATGCCTCTTTAGAGAATTTACAACAGGAAAATGTTTACAATCCTCTTGTTTTAATTGCAAACTCCACAACTGCAATTTTCTTACGAACGCTTTGATGTCATATTTCCTTTTTTCCTTGCAGTTGTATATTCAAATTATTTAAATGAAAAAAATATATCACTCATGAAAGTTAATCGCACATCCAGTTTGTATCGTTCAGCTCAGGCACAGGGTTATTATTATCTTTCAAGAAACTTGATAATTTATTTGGAAGTTTTGTTTCGATAAAACGAGTTTGCACGCTTCACAGGGGCTAGTCATACCCCTGGCAAGTATCCTAAACCATTCCCCAATCATAATTCCTTCCCAATTCTGGCCACTGAGTAGTGACGCAGGGACGCGTACGCGGAGATGCTACTTGGCGGCCCTATTGACAATTGTTTGTAGCGAGACGTGACAGATATGACATGAAATGAATTAATGGATTACTCCCGCGTTGATATGGAGGATTACTCCGAAAGCGCTCAACGCCCCCAGGGGTTGTGTCAACTGAAGACGGAACAAATAAAAAAAAAAGTTCAAACACTACTTTTAGAACTTTCCCCCTGCTCAGCGATACGGCAAGTCTTTGAGTAAGACTTCCCCAAACAACCAGAAGTTCGGAAAATTGCCGGTGGATGAGACTGCGGTTTCTTATAAAACTGACACATTTCACAACAACCTCCATTACATTCTCTAAATTTAATGTTTTGGCCCAGAGTGCTTCCAAATGCAAGATACAAAGAATGAATGGAACAGGACTACAAACCGTTGCAGTTAACTTTTCGGTGAGGTAACCAGCAAATTCCCGACTACCTGTCATCGCCGCAGCACCGTCCGTCGTCACACATGTAAATTTATCCAGGGGAATTTAAAGTCTTCCATGCAAGATACAACGGCACAAAAAATGACTTCACCTTTCGCTGTCCCTCAGAGAGGAATTAATGATAATTCTTCTGTGATGACAAGCTTATCACCAACGCCCCTAATACAAATTGCTAGTTGCGCAATGTCCTGAATATCTGTACTTTCGTCCAGAGCCGAAGAAACTACAATAAAATCTTTTATCTGATCCTTCAATTGATTTTTCAAATCCGTAGCCATGTGATTGATTCTTCTCGCGATTGTGGTACGTGATAAGCAAATAGTTTTGACAGTGATTACCACATCAGGACACAAAATACTAGACACGTTGATGAGGCACTGTTTTATAAATTCTCCTTCCCGAAATGGTTTTGAAGCCTTTGCTTACGTTCACAGCTACGGTGTAACTGGCTCTTATAGCTGCTTCACTGTCTTCGTTTGCATTGTTTCTTTGAAAAAAAAAAAGGAAACTACTGTCAGCTAGGTATCATTATTACTCGCACAAAGATCCCCATGCATATTCTTGGCAACGTAAAGAATAGTGACGCGGAAAAATATTTTCAAAAATAAATATATACAGGCATCAGAAATGGCAAGAAGAATAAAGCTTACTTACTTTTAGCTCTTCCCGAAGTTGTTCTATCAAATTCTTTCTGTCATTGCCTAACGTATTGTGATATGCCCCATGACTTTTGTAGTGTCGCCGTACTGCCGTTACTTGTTTCTCCGACACCATCCTCTGACATTCAAGACACGTTGCTGCTCCATTTCTCTCTGTGAAAAAAAGTTCGTGCTCCCGGGTAGTCATAAATCGACGATTCGCAACAACTCGATTTCGTTCGGAACCTGCCATGATGTGCACCCTTCAGATAACCTCCCCAAGAAGGGGTTCA